GAATGACCATGGCAAAAGAAAGCAAAGATGGTACCAATAGTTATAGGTGCAATCCCAAAACATCTGGAGCACTGCTTGAACACCATTGGCATTGACAAAATCACCATCAGTCCCTTGCAAAAGGCAGCTTTACTTGGAGCATCAGCTTACATCCTGCGACGATACCTTTAACAACATAAAACAACACTTGCTTATCTCAGGTCCTTGGGAAGGACTCAATAGGTGGATAAAAATGCCAAATCCATCTGGCTGACTATGCAACCAACAACAGCAACAACAACAATAATCCTAATGTTATTGTTTGGGCATTTTCATAGGGACATATTTCTGATATAAGCTAGTATTTGAGGTATTGATTTTGAAAACGAAAATCTCCTACTATTGCCATTGCACAAATCCAATATGACAGTCATTGCATCAGGATACTAAAATATCATTCAATTTGTGTGTTTGCAGCTGGCCAATTCCAGCTGACTCTGGGTGGCTTACATTTGAAAAGTAAAGAAAAGACAAAGTTCATATACATCCTGAAGAAACAGACACAACACCCATCCCACCTTCCCAAAACTCAACAAGGATTCAACGGCTACTCTGCCACCAGGCCTAGAAACAGAGCCAAGCTTTCAAAGACTTATGGAACACCATCAAGGTGGGAGCCATATGAATCTCGGGGGGAAAACAGTGATAAATTCATGGAATCCCCACAAGTTCTCACAGAACCCATGGGTTCTGCAGAACACAATTTTGAAAAAAACAAAAACCCTGAAAGAGCTTTTGTGGATCACATGTAAGCCACCCCAGGGTGACTGTTAGGGAATTCTGGAAGATGAAGTCCACATGTCTTAAAGTTGCCAAGGTTGGAAACACTGGCTTAGATGAACACTCTATCCCTTGGTGTCTCTGAGTTTATAAAAACCCCTTCCTGCTATGGTTGAATGACAACATGGCCAGCTATAACCACATTCTTTTGACTGTGTTGGCTAGCTAATCAATAAAATCTTTTACTTACTTATTTATTCATCCTTTGCTTTATATTTTCCCTCCAGATTTATGTCCTTCAGGTGGTGGACATAGCTCCTTTCTCCAATTTTTATCCATAACAACAGTCCCAGCAGGGAGTCTGGGCGTGAGAGACTGGCTAAAGTCATCATCTGTCTTCCTAGAGCTGAGGGAAAACTTAAACTGAGTCTTCCGGATCTTATTGTATCTTTATCTACTACACCACACTGGCTGTGATCTTTGACTGACCTGGGAAAAATCTGCCAATACATCTGCTGGTTAGGTCAGCTTGTGAACCTGAATGGAAGAGAACATCTTGTCCTCAAAGCAATTCCCACCATCTCTTTAGTCATCAGGGCCAGCGCCTTCAACCCTGAATCCAAGAGGCCCTTAAATGGCACTATTTCTCAATGATTACTGAAATGAGGCCTATTTTTAAGCATTTCAGCCTCCATCAGTGTACCTCTCAAACTTCACCCAGCAGACATAGCTGTTCAGCCTGCTGTCTTATTTTTTCTTTCCTGGATGCTATTAGAAACATCAGCTGCTTGAGGCACTGATGTTCAAAAAAAGACATCACCTTCTGCCTGTACTGCTGAGCACAGAGTTGTCTCAAAAATGCTGTCAGACTTTCCCCACCAGAATAAAAGTTAAAAAAAATATGTGCAGCTGTTCAATATTCAGACTATTTGTTGAACAGTCAAACTATTTCTTCTGATCTGTAGCTCCTTTGCTTTTTCAGCATCATCGGTTACGCAGTTTTCAGATAACATATCTGAAAATGTATGGACTATAATAATGGGCATAGAATCAGTGTCCAATGTATTTCAGTTCTCATTGTTTTGTTAAACCACACTTCTAGCCACCTGGTTGACAATAGCACACCACAGGAATTATAATTTATAGAGGAATAACCCGTAGGCATTGCAAACAAAGCCTAACCCTAACTTCATAAGTTAGAGAAATGAGCTGAAAGTGACAAAATGAAAGTTAACAGAGACAAATGCAATGTTCCTTGCTTAAGAAACTGAATATGAGTTAGCAGCTTGATGTGGCTGCAAAAAAAGGCAAATACAATCTTAAGCTGCAGCAACAGAGAGATGTTCAGTAGTTTCACTTTATTCTGCTTTGGTTAGGCCTCAACATCTTCTCAGGCACCCCATCCAGAACCCATAATAGAAGCAGCCAGCCTCTGAATCAGCCATCACTGTGTCTTGCTTGGGTTGAACTTTAGCTTGTTTCTCCCCATCCAGACTCACACACCCTCAGTCACTGGGTCAAGATTTCTGACTCATCTCCTGTTCAGCCAGGGACAGAGAGGTATAGCTGGGTAGCATCAGCATATTGATGACACTATTTCCAGGTGGTGACTGGTCTTCATCATGTGGTGGCTGGTCTCCATCATTTGGCAGCTGGACTCAATATGACAGTGATCAGAGATACACTCCTCCATGATAGTCATCACTGTGGCAGTGAATGACACAGCAGTTATTATGCCTGATTGGAGGGGATGTGGCGTGATTTCTCAGACTTTGTTCCTGACGTGTCCAGGTTCCAGTCTGTTTCAGCACAACTAAATTCACTTCATTCTTTCCTTTCCAACCACACTGAGTTTATTTGAAGAGAGTCAGAGAGATAACCTTGACAGAAATATGTTACCTAGGCAAAAAGGGCTGAAACATTCTTTAAGTCTTTGGAAGCAAGATAATATTCAGAAGTGGCTCAGGTGAATGGCGGTTTAAGCATAACTGGGGTTTAAGCATAACCAGGCTTGCAAGATTCTGTTATAGCCTATTTCAATAAAGTACAGTTCTAGTCTTCCTGAGGAACTGATTTTCTGGTTTTGTCTACCTAGTAGAGGTGACTCTATTCTTCCTCTCTGTCTTCTTGTTCCATGCCTCTTTCTCCTCCATATTTGCTTTTTGTACCACCATCACTCTCCTAATAAATAACAGCTTCCTAGCTGCCAATAGCAATAAACCATAAGTCTGGCCCACTCATACATCCTGGATTAAAACATTTCCTCACTTATGGACACCATCCTGCCTGCCTGAAGAAGCAATTACTTTCAAAACTAAATCATGCCTAAACACTGGAAGTTTGTAAAGACACACTCCTTTAAACAAATATTAATTAGTCAGTTACAGCAGAGTTTAGAGTCATGCCAAGTTTTAGTTGACAACTATAAGGCTGTTCTCCAGCATTTTCCTAAAACCAGAATATGGTTGCATGGCTGCTGACTTGTGCAAATGACAGGGCTTGACTGATGACCCATATCAAAATTTGGACTCCTCAGGCCTGTGTCAAGATCCCTGTTCCAACTTCCTCACCTCTTGTTATCTACCCCCACCTCCTCTCCAAGACTTAATGAAATTGCCTAAAGTAGGGAAAAGATGAAAGAAAATGTTTCTTCATGCAGGCCATCATTAATTTTACTGCCAGGAGAAGAGCTTCTGGCAGTTGTCTAAGATGGCATTTTTAAAAAGGTTATTAAAGTAGACTATTCATCATTATAGTTTAATGGACATCTTGTCAGTTAACTTCAGAGGTAGGACATAAGCATGTGGACCTTGCTCTTCAAGATTTGCTTATGAAAGCTCAGAATTATCCAGTTGGCACCCACACCTAAAAAATGGGGTATATGAAATTAAAATACTTCCTGGAATAGCAAGCCTGGAAAGTTAATACATTATTATACAGTCAAATATCCGTAAACAATATGTTAGATAAAATCTTGGTTAGGGCAGATCTATTAATCATGGCTAACTTATTCTATTGACCTCATAGAGCTACTCCAGCTTTTTTTCAACTGAGTGCTTTCAGGTGTCTTGATCCCCATCTTCTGTAATCTCTCAGCCAGTGTTAAAGCTTTAATGTTATTGCTGTTATTATTTGTTGATAGGCAGAAGGAGAACTTCTCTTTGGAACCTTCATTCCAGCATATTGTAGCTGTATTGTATTTGTTAGTGTTGCCTATTTGAAAGGGGAAGTGGTTTTGGAGAGGAATCATCTCTTGAACTTAACATCTGATGGCATATTTTGAAATGCCTCCTAAAAACCCTTGTCTGCCTTTAGTGAGTGCTAATGGAGGCTCCATGTCTACCCACATGGATGAGAGTTTAGCAGTAGGAATTTTAGAGGAATGGAAGATGTGAGACATAATTAGTAGAAGAGGGTGAGGAAAAGAGCAAGGGAAATTGATCACAATGAGTCAAGTCGTCGGTTCAATTAGTTTGCAAATTAAGATAATGTGTTAATGAAGAAAAACATCCCAAATGTTCAGGGGTGGGGGAACCTACTCCTGCCTGATAGTAAGCCTAAAACAAGCAACAACAGCAGGATTTAGAAACAACAGAAGATCTAATCCAATAATCAAGTTGCATCATTCACAAAGCTCTTGAAAAGAACTATGTTTTTAACCATATGCTGGTCAATAACAACCATTTATGAGAGACACACTCAAGAAAGAAGAAGACATACTAGAATGGGTTCAGAGGTGGTCAACAAAAGTGATCTATTCAATAGAAAATAAGCCTGACTTGCAAATATTGAAATATATCCTTCCTACAAAGGGGTAGATGCAACAGTATTCTTCTTCTTTGGAGATTGCTAGAAGAGGGAAAATATGTGTTCTCTGCTGCCCCAGAATGCTGAATTATTTCTAATGCAGTAGATTAACCACACAGTATATTTCAGTTTCACTTTAGGAGAATATCTTGATATTAAGTGCAATTTGGCAATAGAACCCACAACATATAGAGGTAGAGAATAGCCAGCGTTGGAGATCAGCTGTTGGAACTCTGATATCACACACGTTGGAGAAAAGATCCAGCAACAAGCAGCCTGAGATCAAAAACACTCTGGCTTTCATAGCCGCCCGACCACTTTCAGGTGGGCAGCAGGGGGATATCACAAAGGAAGCTCAAATGGAAGGAAAGGGGGCCCTTAAATAGGCTGTGCCATTGTAGCTTCTTACCACTCCATTTCTCCTTAATTTACAGGCTTTGCAAGCCCAAGTACTGCAATATCAAATGTGTCCCAAAGTGGTCTACACAATGCACTACACATTTACATGAATGGCTCCATGTCCCAGGTCCAGGGTTCAGCCAACGATCCGGTCTTCATCCCTCACCATGCCTTTGTGGACAGGTAAGTTGGATAGTTCCTGGTAAAAATTATATCTTCCATGAGTTGATAGAGATATCAAAACAATTGGATATCTCGTATATGGACTAGAATAAAGTCTTTGCAGAGATTTTAGTTGTCAGCTATGTTTTATGTCTGAGAATGTTGAGGAATGTGTTGCTGGCTGTCTCATAGCTAATATGCTAGAAAGAATGCCAGATGAAGACCACCCTTTTTTCTATGGGTATGTGTCTTTATTAATGGGACAAAATTAACTTTGTCCCCATCCATAGTCTAGTCTTGATGGATGGATTATGCGCCATCAAGTCATTGTTGACCTTAATGACCACACAAATAGATTTTCTGCATGATGATCTGTCCCCAACCTGGTCTTTCAGGGCTTCAAACAATGCACCCACCATCACTGTAACTGAGTCTATCTACCCTGATGCTTATTTAGCCAATGATGGCCCAGGTCATGAGAAGTGGTTGTTATAGTTTTACCCACAGCTACGCTAAGCCAAAACCGTCAGGTTTTTTTCCTCTCACCTTTGACAAGCCATCTTATCCAGGCAGAACTGAAAGCAAAGCCTAGAGTGTATCTGATAGGGTTAGTGTTAATGTTGGCAGAAGCAAAGCTAGAACTGAAGACCTGGCTGTGCTGACTTGTGTGAGGTGAGAAGAGACATAACCAAACCTGGGGTGGCTGGTGCCGTGAAGATGCTTCTCAAGCCTAATAATTTCACCATCAACCTTGGAAGATATTTATTATTTATTATTTGTAGGACTATGGTTTTATTGTATTTTAATTAATATTTATTCTTTTACTGTAAATTGCCCAGAGTCACTTCTAGGGAATGGGCAATGACAAATGTCAAATATAAATAAATAAAACCTGAACAGGACTCCACTCCAGGCTATCTGGACAGATAGCATGTCAGCCTTGCGAGGCAGTCCAGACAAGGAGCACACCCAGAAGTACTAGCTCTAACTTTATTGTAAGATTACATGAACAGAATCTTGCAAGTCTGAAAGTACCGCTCTCCCCCATTGCCTTTTTTTTTTTTAATCTGCGCTCAGTCATTACTGACTCTGCAGTGACTGCTTGGACGAGT